GTTTGGATCCTCAAATTTATAGTTTAGGATCCTGAAATTCAAGGATCTCAGATTAGATAAAATAATCTTGAAAAAGAAGAACAAAGTTGGATAACTCATATTTCCTGATTTCAAAACTTACTATAAAACTCCAGTGCTCAAGGTGGTGTGGTATTGCCTTAGGAATAAACATATAAGTCGGATCCATAGAAATTAGAGCCCAGAAACAAACCCATATATTTATGGTCAACTGATTGTTGATAGGAATATCAAGACACTTCAATGGAGGAAGGATTATCTTTTTAACAGTGGTGCTGGGACAAGTGGATACTCACTAGTTGAAAGGTTGAAATTGGATCCCTACTCAAAATCATATACAGAAAGTAACTTAAAATGAATAAAGACTTATATTAAGTGCTAAAACTATAAAACCATTTGATTAAAACATTGGAGCACATCTTCTGACCTTGAATAAAAAAATGGTTTCTTGGATATGACACCAAAGTATAAGCAATCAAAAAAATAGATAAATTGGACTTAATCAGAATTAAAAACTCTGTGCTTTTAGGACATTATCAAGAAAGTGAAAGGACAACCTACAGAGTGGGAAAAATAATTTGTAAATTATATATCAGGAAAGGGCCTAATATCCAGAATATAAAAAGAATGACTACAACTCCACCATAAAAAGACAAATAACATAATTTAAAAATGAGCAAAGGACTTGAAAAAACATTTTTCCAAAGAAAATATACAAGTGGCCAGTAAGCACATGAAAAGATGTTCGAAAATCATTTGCCATTGGTGGTGGTTTAGCTGCTTAGTCCTACTCTTAGCGACCCCATGGACAGTAGCCCACCAGGCTTCTCTATGGGATTTCCCAGGCAAGAATACTGGAGTGGTCTGCCATTTTCTTCTCCAGGGGATCCTCTCGACCCATGATTGAACCCATATCTCCTCCATTGCAAGCAGTCTCCTGCACTGCAGGCAGATTCTTTACCATCTGAGCCACCAGGGAAGCCCCATTTGCTATTTGGGAAATGCTAATCAAAATCACAGTGAGCTGTCCCTTCACATTTACCTAGGCTATAATAAAAAAGACTACACAGTTCGTTGAGGAGGAAGAATTGCTGATGAGAATAAACACTAATGTAGCCTTTTTGGAAAACAATTTGTCAGTTTCTTAAAATGTTGAATGTAGATTTACCATGTGACCTAGAAATACCGCTTCTAGGTACTCTTGCCTCGAGAACCCCATAAACAGTATGAAAAGCCAAAAAATATGAACCAGAAGATGAGCCCCTCAAGTTGGAAGATGTCCAATAGGCTACTGGGGAGGAGTGGAGGGCAATTACTAATAACTCCAGAAGAATGAAGTGGCTGGGCCAAAGTAGAAACAACACTCAGTTGTGGATGTGTCTGGTGGTGAAAGTGAAGGCTGATGCTATAAAAACAATATTTGATAAGAACCTAGTGTGTTAGGTCCATGAATCAAGATAAATTGGACATGGTCAAGCAAAAGATGGCAAGAGTCAACATTGACATCCTAGGAATCAGTGAATTAAAGAATGGGAATGGGTGAGTTTAGTTTAGATGACCACTATATCTACTACTGTGGGCAAGAATCCCTTAGAAGAAATGGAGTAGCCTTCATCATCAAAAAAAGAGCCCAAGATAGGTGCAACCTCAAAAATGAAAGAATGACCTCAGTCCATTTCCAAGGCAAGCCATTCAGCATCACAGTAATGCAAGTCTGTGCCCCAACCACTGATGCCAAAGAAGCTGAATTTGACGGGTTCTATGAAGACTTACAATATCTTCTAGAACTAACACCAAAAAAAGATGTCCTTTTCATCACTGGGCTTGGAATGCAAAAGTAGGAAATCAAGAGATACTAAGAAAAACAGGCAAGTTTTGCCTTAGAGTACAAAATGAAGCAGGGCAAAGGCTAACAGAGCTTTGTCAAGAGAACACGCTGGCCATAGCAAATACCCTTTTCCAACAATCCAAGAGATGACTTTACACATGGACATCATTAGATGGTCAATATAAAAATCAGGTTGACTATGTCCTTTGCAGCCAAAGACAGAGAAGCTCTATATAGTCAGCAAAAACAAGACCTGTGGCTGACTGTGGCTCAGATCATGAGCTCTTTATTGCAGAATTCAGGCTTAAATTGAAGGAAGTAGGGAAAACCACTAGGCCATTCAGATATGATATAAATCAGTGGAGGTGACAAATAGATTCAAGGGATTAGATTTGGTAGACAGACTGCCTGAAGAACTATGGACAGAAATTCATAACATTGTCCAGTAGGCAGTGACCAAAACTGTCCAAAGAAAAAGAAATTCAAGAAGGCAAAATGGCTGTCTGACGAGGCTTTACAAATAGCTGAGGAAAGAAGAGAAGCGAAAGGCAAGGGAGATAGGGAAATATATACCCAACTGAATCCAGAATTCCAGAGAGTAGCAAGGAGAGATAAGGAAGCCTTCTTAAAGGAACAATGCAAAAAAATAGAGGAAAACAATAGAATGGGAAAGACTAGAGATATCATCAAGAAAATTGGAGCTATCAAGGAAATATTTCTTGGAAGGATGGGCACCATAAAGAACAAAAATGGTTAGGACCTATTTGGTAGGGACAGAAGCAGAAGAGACTGAGAACAGGTAGCAAGAATACACAGAAGAACTGTACAAAAAAAGCTCTTAATGACCTGGATAACCATGATGGTGTGGTCACTCACCTAGAGCCAGACAACCTGGAGTGTGAAGTCAAGTGGGCCTTAGGAAGCATTACTAAGAACAAGGCTAGTGGAGGTGACAGAATGTCATCTGAGCTTTTTAAATGCTAAAAGGTGATGCTGCGAAAGTGCTGCACTCAGTGTGGCAGCAAATTTGGAAAACTCAGCAGTGGCCACAGGACTGGAAAAGGTGTTTTCATTCCAATCCCAAAGAAGGGCAATGCCAAAGAATGTTCAAACTACTGTACAGTTGTGCTCACTTCACATGCTGGCAAGGTTATACTCAAAATCCTTCAAACTAGGCTTCAGCAGTATGTGAACTGAGAATTTCCAGATGTATCAGCTGGATTTAGAAAAGGCAGAGGAACCAGGTATCAAATTGCCAACATTCGGTGGATCATGGGGAAAGCAAGAAAAACATCTACTTGTGCTTTGTTGACTATACAACAGCCTTTGACTGTGTGGATCACAACAAACTGTGGTAAATTCTTAAAGTGATGACAGTACGGGACCACCTTACTGTCTCCTGAGAAACCTGTATGTGTGTCAAGAAGCAACAGTTAGAATCAGACATAGAAGACTGACTGGTTCAAAATTGGGAAAGGAGTGTGACACGGCTATATGCTGTCACCCTGATTATTTACCTTATATGCAGATTATATTATGTAAAATGCTAGGCTGGATGAATCACAAACTGGAATTGAGATTGCCAGGAGAATTATCAACAACTTCAGATTTGCAGATGATACTACTCAAATGCAGAAAATGAAGAAGAACTAAAGAACCTCTTGATGAGAGTGACAAAGGAGAGTAAAAAAAGCTGGATTTAAATGACATTAAAAAAGCTAAGATCATGGCATCTGGTCCCATCACTTCATGGCAAATAGAAGGTGGAAAAGTGGAAACAGTGACCAATTTCATTTTCTTGGGCTCCAAAATCATTGCAGATGGTGACTGCAGCCGTGAAATTAAAAGATGATTATTCCTGGGAAGGAAAGCTATGACAAACCTAGACAGCGTATTAAAAAGCAGAGACATCACTTTGCTGACCAAGATGTGTACAGTCAAAGCTATGGTTTTTCCTGTAGTCATGTAAGGATGTGAGAGCTGACCATAGAGAAGACTGAGTGCTGAAGAACTGATGCTTTTGAACTGTGGTGCTTGAGAAGACTCTTGAGAGTCCTTTGGACTGCAAGGAGATCAAACCAGTCAATCCCAAAGGAAATAAACCATGAATATTCATGGGAAAGACTGATGCTGAAGCTGAAGCTCCAGTACTTTGAGATGAGTCAGTTCATCTGATGTGAAGAACTGACTCTGGAAAAGACCCAGATTCTGGGAAAGATTGAAGGCAAAAGGAGAAAGGGGTGGTAGCAGATGAAATGGTTAGATAGCATCATCGACTCAGTGCTCATGAATTTGAGCAAACTCCTGGAGTTAGTGAAGGACAGAGGAACCTGGCATGCTACAGTCCATGGGGTTGCAAAGAGCTGGACATGACTTAAGGACTGAACAACAACAGCAAATACAATGAAATATTATTTGGCCATAAAAGGAATGATTACTGAAATAACCCAAAATATTATGCTAAATGAAAGGAACCAATCATGAAAGGCATATATTATATGATTCCGTTTATATGAAATGTACAGAATGGGCAATTCTATAAATCCAGAAAGTAGACTGGTGGTTTTGCCAGGGGCTGGGAGGTGGGGAAGATGAAAGGAGGGCTGACTGTTAAGGACTATGGACTTTCTTTTTGAGGTGATAAAAATGTTCTGGAATTAGATAATAATGATGTGTGCACAACCATGTAAATATGTGAAAAACCAGTGTATTGTATACTTTAAAGAGGTGAATTTTATGGTACCTGAATTACAACTCATTAAGAACCTTAACAGTCTTGGGTCCTTGGCCACTGAGTTGGTAGCTAGCCATGCTGCCTTGATGATGCTGGGTCCAAGGAATACTAAAGGCCTGCTTGGAAAGCGGGCTTCCTTTAGGGTAATTCATGGAGCAGATATAAGGGGAAAGATTTGGGGGACAGGTTGGAAGACTTGTAAGTGTGTATAGAGTATGCATTCTCTACTTGTGCTTAAAATCATGTCACACACAGAGTTACATTTTCCATCTAAGGTCAGGAAGGATTGATTGTAGATGTGAGCTGTATTGGGCGGGGGAGAATCTCCCCCAGTGTGACAGTTATAGGCATTAGGTCACACATGCTCCACCCTTCCTCCCACCTCCACCTGGGAAACATCCTGGGAAGGACATTCCTCACCTTTTCTTCAGGCATTTCTAGAAGAGGCAGGGCTGGGTGTGCATCCTGGGAGTTGGGGGGACAGCTTGGGCTGGGAAACTCCAACTCATAGAGTTTGTATCTGCTGGAAAGAGGCTCTGCCAGGAGAGGGCTGCTGTGAGTGTGAGCATCAGACATCTCTTTCAGGCTTTGGCTGCTCATTGGTCATGCAACTGGTAAAAGGAAAGGGAAAGAACAAGTGAGTCAGGATCGAGCCCTAGGGACTTGGCTGAGGCTGGATGGGGGCCCCAGGAGGCCTGAGGTCTATTCTGACACAAGGGACCTACTGTTCCAGTCACTTGTGCTACCAAAGGGGCCTGGAGCCATTCCTCCACCAACATGACCTGTACTGTTCAAAATCCACCCATTCTTCCAAGTCCAGAAGAAGGTCCATTTCTGCTGTGCAGGTTTCCCTCACCATTCAGTAGGAGTAGATCTCTTTTTTTCTGGTCACTAAAATATTTTTCCTCTATCTTTCATATTGCTGATGGTACTGTTTTATTGCAGTAATTAGTTGCACATGCATTTTCCCCTTTACGTACATGTAGATCTGGGTTTCCAGCTGGGGAGGGCTCTAGGAGAATTTCATTTTCTTAGTTCCCATGCAGCCTATGTTGCTGTCTGTTGGCCTGCAGAGCCCTTCTCTCCCCTCTGCCCTCAATGCCCTTTCCAGCTTCTATTTCCTCCCCCTCCCCGGGAGCAGCGGGCGGCTCTTGTGTGACCCACTGGAGGCTGTGTGCACTGATTCTTCCTCCACGTGAGACCTTTTCCTTTCATCACTGGGCCAGGGCTTATGCCAGGGCTTGGTTTTGGAACAACCTCTGCCCAATGTCTTCAGTTTCCACTTTAGTCTGGCTGTGTCATGGAAGTTATACTTTTTTCCTTCTTGCTTCTGCCATTCTTTTTTGGTCTACTCCAGCTCAGTTAAGTCTTATTTGAATTTATTGTTTCTTTCGGGGGTGGTTTGGGGTCTGCACAGAGTTGTATCTCAGTATGATCTAAAGTTTTCTTCATTGGTCCCTGCTGCCATGGCTTTATCTCCCATCTATGTACCTATGGCCCCCAAACCTAACATTTGCAGCCTAGCTTTGAGAACTGGATTCACAGATTTAATTCTTTACTTCACAGAAGCTTAGACTTAATACACTGAGACAATTCCTAATGTTCCTTCCTGAGTCTTGTCTTCCCCTCTCCAAGGGGCCCATCCCAGGAAAATTCCCCCTTCCAATTTTCTTCTTTAAAAAACTCAGGAGTCAAACTCCATACTCCCTTCTCCTCCACTCTCCAATCCAAAACTATCTCTAAAATATACCTTGATGTCCAGTATCACCATTGAGTTACCATCTCCCCTTGCCACTTCTCCAAATAACTGCCAGTTGCTTACTACCACTTCTTCTCAGATTTCTCCTCCAGGCTATGCCCCACAGCAGTCAAATTTGTCATATTAACATTCAAGTCCATTCATGTTTCCTGCTTAAATCCCTCCAATGCCTACAGATGGAAAACCACATCTTTAACATGGTGCTAAGGCTCTATATCACTGACTTCCACTGTGCTTTAGCCTGTCCTGTGCTTCTCCTACCCCTCATTTCTGGACCCCACACTGGCCTCCATTTAGCGCTTTTTACCTCAGAGTCTCTGCAAATGCTGGTCCATTTGCCCGGAAGGCTTCTCCCTAGCCCTTTACCTGGATAACTCCTGCTCTTCCCTCAATCTTTGTTTTAATTGTCACCTGTTGGACAAGCCTTCTCTGATGGTCTGCTGTCACATGTTCTCATGGGATCCAGTATTTTTCCTTATACTGCTGTACCTCCTAGCTCCTAGCACAGAGCCAGGCACATAGTAGGTGTCCAATAAATAGTCAGTGAAGCAGAAAGAGGGAAGGAAGAAAAGGAAGAAAGGATGGAAGGCTACAGGTAACTGCTAGAGTGGGGTAACTTTATAAATCACTGTGGGTCTCAGGTCTTGAGAACTTGAGGGGCCACCCACTAGTCCTGCACTTCAAGGCAGAACTGCCGAACTCTTCCCTGTCTAGGGCCTGTCCCAGGAATAGCTCATTTAAACCATGGCTGGTTTTTAGCATTGGTCTGCAAATATCATTCATATATGACCAACTCTTCTTTCTGGTGCTTCCATGGCTCAGGAAGAGGCCTTTCCTTTCTGAATGCAGGTGGAATTTCAGTGAGTTTCAGACGGCCCTGGAGGGGGCACGCTGGAAATGTTTAGGAGAGCGGAAGCCAGCAAGCCACAGAATCTGTCCGTTCCCAATGCACTCTCTCCCTCTGGTGGCCAAGAGGTGACACAGCATGGTATGAATCCTTCCAAGTCATCCAGATAAGTGAGGGGCAATATCTAGACACGTGATCTTCATGACACTATATACCTGGATTTACTAGAAATGTTCTGGAAAGAACTTGTGTTAAATTCAGTGTCTGTGAATTACATTAAAAATCCAGTTGAAAATTACTTTCTTTCCCAAGCATATTTCCCTGAATCTAAGATATTATCAACTGAACATTCTGTTATTATTTTGTGTCTTACCATGAAAGAAGAAAATGCTGCCAATTAAAATTGCAAGATGCATTCTGATTTAATAAATGTTAAAATATGAGAAAGATGTATATTTTGTAATCAAGGACATATGACAAAAGCCATAGTGATGCAACTCAAGTAGACCGGAATAGGAATTATTTTCTAACTATGGGACGTCAAACATTTATATATATTTTTGATGGAGAATGTGTGTATACATCATGAGACCTTCAAGAACAAGACCTTGAAGAGGCCTTGAAGGGCCTATTACTGTGTTGATTTCTGCATTTGCATTGCTCAGCAGAAAGCATGACATAATAAACCCTCAATATAAGTTTAATAATTATGGAAAGAATGAATGATTACACAATGGAAGTACTCTCCAGAGTCTTTCCAAAAAGGCTCTATCTTCTCTTCTTTTGAGTGTCTCAAGTGCAGTTAATATTCCCAATTACAGACGGAGAAGTCAAGGCCCAGAAAAGCAGACCAAGAGTTGTTTCTCACATGGATGTAGCTCTCTGCACTCTCTGAAGCAAGCTTGCTGCCTTGGGATGGCGGCTGCTGGGAGGAGAGAACCAGGGAAACCGGCAGCTTGCTACAGAGTCAAGATTAGACCCAGTTTCCCACCCTGGGCTCCTTCTGTTACTCCAACCGCCTTGTAGGGCACAGCTGGGGGAGGCAGAGAAGGGGGGCCACCCTTCAGCCTGGGGCCAGGCCCTCAGCCCAGTGTCCTATTTCATAAGCCCACATAACCTCAGCAGGAACAACGTGATTGCATCTCCTCCGGGGAACACAGCGTTCCTTTGCCATGGGAATGTTTATCCTACTCAAATGGGGGAATTTTGGCTTTGGGGTAGGGGCGAGACATGCAGCAAAAAAAGTCTTGTAAAGAGAAGGTCAGTGTTTGGAAAGAGCACACACAGGCTTCGGAGGCTGAGATGCCCAGCTTCACTCTCTTCTCTGCCACAAGGTGCGGTGTGGGCCTCTGCTTCTCCCCCTTTAAAGGGTTCTTAGGACAGTGAAACTGCTGACTTGGTTTTTGGCGCATAGTAGGCACTCAGTGATTTTTCAGTTTCCTCTCTTCCTGTGCTCCCAAGCTGAAGGGAAAGATGGCTAAAGCAATCCGATGAAGTGCAAGCTGGCTGGTCTGAAACAGAGCGCCTTTCAGAAGTTTCCATAAGGCGTCGGCCACTTGTTAAAACTGGACAGGGAAATGGCTGCCCGAGCCACGTCCCGTCTGAAGGCGGCAGGCCTCAGAGCCCATTCCCAGCTCCACTCTGAGCCAGTCCATTAAACCTGCTTCCAAGAACACATAATTATCTGCTTGGCGTGAGAATGCTCTCCTTGGCTGCCTGTACCTCCTCCTCTCCCTCAGAAATGTGGACACAAAGGGCTGTTTGCATTGGCCTCCTATTTCTCCCAAAAGTTGGACTCTCCAAGTGTTCCTGCAAGGGGGCTCCCCCGACAGACTGGGCCCTCACCCCTAGTTGTGAAGATGCTCCCTGTTGAATACCTACTGTGTGCCCCTGGGCTTCCCAGAAAGGGCACAGAGCTGCAGAGACAGGGAGAGAGGGAACAGACTGTCCATGTGGGGGCCAAGTGGCGGGGTGGGGGGCAGCGTGGGCACAGGGGCTGCTGGCGGAGCCCAGGGCAGTCCCCAGACCTCCCACCACTGGCAGAGACCAGCCCAGGCTTTCATGTCAGGACTTGGTTGAACCAGCAAGAGGGAGGTGAACACTCCAGCCAAGGAAATGCCTGAAAACAATACACACCTGATTTGTGCCAGGAAATCCCCATTGTGGGCCCTGCTGGAGCAGGGGGCTGCCCGCAAGGAAAGGCGAAGCTGGGTGTTAGAAGCTAGACTGCAAAGTCCTTAGTCCATATATTTGGACCCAAGTTCCCTTCCCAACATAGAAAACATGGCGCCCACTCTCCTGTACTGAGTTTGAAATTCTTCTGGCTCTTTTCTCTAAGAGACAGTTTCCGGTAGCAATGCAAGAACATGCCCCTGCCCAGTGGGAAGAGGCTGCACACTCCCTGGCACATTCCTGCAGTTGCGAGAAGAACCTGCAGCTGTGGTGGAGGGGGGAGCTTCTTGAGTTTTTGATGTGATTCAGTGCACAGTCCAAGAGCCCCCTCCCCGAGACCTGTTGGGTTTAAATCTGGGGTGACCTTATTGTGGAGGGGGTGAACATCAAATGGTCTTACATCATCTTTCACGCAACTGAGTTACTGAGGTTGCAGAGTTCTGGAGAAGGAGAAATGATTAGTAGGTTTCATTTATTGATTTGATTAATTTTTCCTAAGGCTTTGCAATTGATGTAATTATGGAAAAGGAGAGTTTCCATAAATTTTTAGAACCTTAGGAACTAAAGGTACATCCTAATGCTTCTCTCAAACAATGAAGGAGCTGAGCGCCTCTGACTGTTGGCAGGGGTCCCATGGCCCTGTGAGGTGGGCTGTTCTGACTGTGAACAGCTCTGATTACTGGAAACCCTTGGACACATGGAGTTGACATCAAGCCCTTTGGGTTTTACCCATCATGTGTTCCAGTTCTGTCCATACTGTGGGCATGGACACATGCCCTTCCTGTCTCACATGAGTGCACTTCAGATGTTGATTCCAAGCCT